ACATATTTCATGGTATTGACCATTGATATGATGCAAATTCATGGTTGCTATCAAGATTGGCTAAAATGGAATGTATTACAAGAAAGAAAAAAAATAATACATGGTGAAAAACTTTGATAGAAATGTGTTTCAAGATAATGATAAAAGCAACACATGCATTGATGTTATAAGAAAATAAAATACAGTTAGCCCTTTGAGCAGGCTGTCATATGTCTTTGTGGTTGCATTTTTATTGATTTTTATATTTTTAAAATTTATAGGTTGACATTTTCATTTGACCTTTTAGGTGCCTTATTTTAGCAACATATTTATTTTCTTAACGAATAATAGCTCCTAAGATCTCGAGCCATTCATTATATATAGGAGTTAGTTCAAAAGTGGTTATAATATGCAATGGTCTTCGTGAAATAAAGAAGTAGAAGAAAGAAATTTAACTATGATATGGCTTAACATATTCCGTAGTTGATAACCATGGTTTATTTATGTATTAAAAAATGACATGACGTTATATGAGTGTTCGACTTATCTTTCTAACTAATAAAAGCAACATAGTTAACTTTTTTGACCAATAATAACAACATATTTATCTATTTGTCAAATAAAAGAAAAATATTTCTCCTTTTAATCAATTATAGCGACATACTTATCTTTTTCACCAATAATAGCAACGTACTTATCTTTTTAACCAATAATAGCAATATGCTTATTTTCTTTATTCAATAATATGAGTTTACTTGTATTTTTAACCGATCCATATTAGTTTCAGTTTTGAACTTGATATTATACAAACAATAAATAATAATTTATTTACCGATTAACCTAATACAATTGATTATTTAACATATGATCCTAATGGTCACATTAACAACAACTTGATACAATTGATTATTTATTAGAAATTGATTTTAGTAAATATTCAATAAACTCTTGTAATTAAATTGGAAGTTATTTATTTCATGTAAATAATAATTTTCATTAGCAAGTAACATTATATAATTCATATGGTATGAATTAATAAGTCATGCACAACCTTGTTGATTAGTTGAGTCTTTTTGTCTTTTACCAAAATACAAAGTTTATATTTTATAAAACACTAGTTTATAAAATATAAACAAAATTTCTCTTTTTCTTTGCTATAGCCGAATGTTGGAGGAGGGAGAAGAAACATGGGCTTTCAAATTGTTTAATCTAATGTAATAAGTATAGGAAAAACCATGATAGACAAGCATGTCTAAAGGTCTTAATGGTTAAATACCTATAGATTAAGTGTATGTTTTAAATGGCTAGAGACTTGCATCTTTTGTGTGATTTTCTTCATGAAATTGTCGTGAGTTTTTACTCACTCTCTCATCTCTTTTTTTGCTTTTAAATCAAGAAGAAGTTACTTGGATTTTATGCTCTCTTTGAACCATACTTGGGTTTGGTTCAAAGCTTAAAAGTTTTTCTTATAAAGACTAGTATCTTTACATCAAGTTGAGTTCTTGTTGGTGTGTCAAAGGTTCCAAATTCTCCATCAACTTCCAAGACTTCCAAGAGGACCCAAAGAAATACAAATGTTGTTATTTCTCCATCTTTTTCTTTGGTGTTTGTTTTCTTTCTAAACTTTACAAGAAGATTCATGGTTGGTTATAAACTTGTTTTATTTTGTTCAAAAATCAAAGTCTTTCGTTGCTAAATCTTATATTTTTCAAACTAATTTTTGAATAAAAAACCCAATAGGTCATTATTGTATTTTAAAGTTATTTAAATGTTACAAACTTTTACGGCATTTATATGTCGATACACTTTCAAACCATATTTTATTCCCTCTCCTCCATATATAATTGTTCGTAACGGAAATTTGTTTTGATACTTTTGTGGTTCTACTAGATATGTTATTATCTTTTCACGTGCTATATGTTGACATTTGTAAATCACATTTTATATCCGGATTGCAAACATGTTACATACACATATTAAAGTTACGTTTTTCTCCCTTACATAATTGTTTTATAGTTTTTGTTTTTATTAAATGCAAACGAGTTATCTACTGCAACACACAGGATTACTCAAATAATAGTTGTGTATAAATTGAAAATAAAAACATGAACGGTCGAACACGAGAAAGATATAACATAAACTATAAAAAAAATATGAATAAAAATGTCCTTCTATAATTTACAAAACAAACTTACGTGAATCCTGTTACATCCAAAATCTAAACTAGGATATTTATCAACACAATGTCTAAAAATTTATTTCCTAGTTCTTATTAGTTAACTCTGCACAGAAAGAAAGAAAGTTGTCTAATTTAATTTTATAATTAGCTAGCACTAAAGTTTTTCCCTTCCTTTGTTTTTGATTTAAGACTAATCACAATTCTAATTGCGTATGAAATAGTTGAACGGCCAGTACACCCGTCTTTACTTCTTCACCATAAATTTGATTATTCAACTCTAAAGAAAATAAAGACAAACAAATATGAGTAACCAAATATGTAATATTGTTCTCGTATAGTCAAAAAATTTAATTAAACAAACAATTAAATAGAAAAAGTAAAAAAAAAAAATAGAAGTTATAAATGACAATTAATTAAATAATTAGACAAAACTGCAAATTTAGTCCTTGTGGTTTACAAAAATCTTTGGATAGAGTCCAAAAAGTTTTTAACTTGCATGGCAGGTCCAAACTCAAAACCTTTCCGCGATTTTAGTCCAAAAAAACTTTAAAAGACGATTATGCCCTTTTATTTTCTTTTTTGTATTTTATATATTTATTTAATACCTTTTTTAATTAAAAAAAATAACATATCCCACCCTATCACTTTATCCGACCCTCCCCTCTCTCTTTCACTCCACCCGACCCTTTCCTTTCTCTTTTACTCTCTCTCCCATCTTCTTCTTCTTCACCCTTCACCTGCTTTGAAGATAGCTTGATTAGCGATGAATCATCCTCCACCACCATAATCGTCGAAGCTTGGATCTGAAGTTGTTGATGTGTCATCGGTGGTGCTCAACGATTATCAGGAGATTGGAATACGACATCAGATGTACACCTCAAGAAACTGGAATCACTCCCAAACGTATCACCATCAATGAAGTCAAAATAATCCCTCTCCACATATCTCTCAGCCAAAACACGATTTGCAGCTGAATGACTCACACATCTCTCAACCATTGAAAGTTGAAAGCTTTCCAGTTCTTGAATTTAACATGGAAGAAATCGGAAACATATGTCGGTCTTATGTTGTTCTTGGAGAAATAAATCGGGATTCCTTTTTCAATATTTGGATCGAGAACCCTTTGATAGAAATCAGATTCATTTAAGACACATTTATTCATTGATTCAATCTCATCGAAGCAAACATAAATCAACCAACAAACCCATAAATACTTTCGTTTGAGGCAGATTTAACTTTCTCTATATTTTGATTTGGATGAATCTGAGAAGCATCAATTGATTTGAAGGTGTATTTGGCAAAGTACAGAGAGATAGAAGGGAAAAAGAAGACGTTAGGAAGACAAGGCGAGAAGGATGGCGGACCCTGATGACAGTCGATGGTGACAGTGGCGAACGATGGTGGCCGATTTTACCTTCCATGTTGAAGGTGTATTTGAATGTTTGTGTGTTTTGGAGAATAAAATCAGAAAATCTGATGTGTGTATTTGTTAATCAAGATGGTTGTTCTTCACTATAAAGATGTTCTTGGGTGTTAACAATGACAAACCCACATGAGAGAGAGAGAGAGAGAGAGAGAGAGAGAGAGAGAGAGAGAGAAAGAGAGAGAAAGAGAGAGAGAGAGAACGGTGGGTTGGGTGGGGATAATTTTTTCATTTTTTCTTTATTTTTTAATTAAAATAGTATTAAAGAAATTACAAAAAAATATTAAAAAAAATAAAAGGGCATAATCATCTTTTCAAGTTTTTTTGGACTAAAATCGCAGAAAGGTTTTGATTTTGGACCTGTCATGCAAATTAAAAACTTTTTGAACCCTATCCAAAGATTTTTGTAAACCACAAGGATTAAATTTGCAGTTTTGTCAAATAATTAAGTATTATAAATTGAAAAAGTTTGAGAGTTTAAAATGAATATGATTCAATCGCATTCATTTGAATCGGCTATAATATAAGAGTTATTAAGATATTAAAAAAATGAAGCACTATAAGTAGCTGTGAATTTATATATCGTTATTAACGTTAAAAAGTATAAACACATTCCTATAAAGAATACATAAATACACTATACCAAATATATTGTAGTTATGAAAAACGAAATAAACTTAAAATACGAGTTTTTAACCAAAATAGGGTTATTGAAAAAAATATTTACCAATCTAGTATAGTTTGAAAAATATTTACCAAACTAGTGTTTTTCTTCATTTTTTTTATTTTTCAATATTTCTTATTGTTTTTCTATTTATTTAAAATATCAGCTTTTTTATTTTTTTTTATTTCAGTTTTTTTACTATTTATTTTAAATATCAGTTTATTATTATTATTATTATTATTATTATTATTATTATTATTATTATTTAACATAATTTTCATACTATACTAGATTGGTAAATATTTTTTTCAATAACCCCATTTTGATTAAAAACTCCTTAAAATACCTTACCTAACTTGTAGAAAATAAAATAAATTATTGATTTTGTGATTTGCCTTGAAAACAAAATTCTCTATCTTTATCAGCACATGCTCTATTCCCCACCTTCTCATAATTCCATCTCTCATGTTTCCATTGTTCTTGGTGGAGTTCTGTTTCATTATCATTACAAAATCTTTATGTTTTCATAGTATATTAAATGGTTCGGTTTAAAGTCCACACATTTATTTTTTTCTTTATAATTAAAATATAGTCAAAGAAGTAAGAACCAGCAATAATAATAATAAAAAAAATACAAAAAACAAAAAACGAAAAATACAACAAAACAAAGTACTACTCTGTTTTCACTCTTTATAGTTTCTTTTTAATTTTATTTTGTAAACAATTAAACAGCGGGCAGTCTTTCGACAGTGAAAATGGCATTAGAATCCTTTGCAGGTGGTGGAGGCTATATCATGGGGAAACTAATCGAGATTTGGGGCCAAATCAAAGTCCTGATTTTGGTGTCATTGATAAGAACATTAATGTATGTTTCTCTTCGAATGTCAATAATGTTGTTCCTAGAGATGGTTTAAATGTTGTTGGTGATTGAATTCAATTATTTGTTTGGTAGAAAGATAGAAAATCCTTACAAAGTGAAAGAAATTAAAGATGATATTGAACGTGGGAGCTCGGTTTACCCTCTTGTTCTTATTCAAGTGTTTTTGTTTATTATTATGTAAACAGGTTTGCCAGCTTTTCCTCGGAGCTGGCATGTACGGCATATTTGACACATAGTGTTTCAGAGCATTTGAGAGCTTCAACCTTCTAGCGTTTGACAAAACGTTCCGTTTTGAACAGAAAGCCTCTTTCGACACTACAAACTTCTAGCGTTTAATTTAAACAATATGCTCCGAATCCAAATGCTACTTAATGTAGCGTTTAACGAAACGCTACAAGTTACAAGTTATCTGATACCAGCTAATTTTACCGAACACGCCCGTAGTCTTTCATTGATGGTTGATCGCATTGTAATCCAAGTTCCTGATGATTCAAGATTAAGGTTGAAAAATACAACCCATATTCCAAAACAGGAATTTTTTTTAAACAGACAAATATAAATATTCCACCAATATCCAGTACGAAACTTGAACCCTCGACCTCAAATGAGTTGTATTTTTCAACCTTAATCTTGAATCATCAGTCCCGTAGTCTTTCGTTGATACAACTACCCCACTATTACCACCAACCACCACCCATCACCCATCACCGCTACTTACAGCCATCACCCGCCTCTACCACCCACCACCACCACCACCACCGCCACCCACCCACCATCACCATTTATTCCACCACCCACCACAACCACCCCCACCCACCACCCATCAAGACCACCACCACCTATGACCATCACCACCACCCACCTCCACCACCCATCACCACCACCCCACCCATCACCCATAAAAACCACTATACATCACCACCACCACCGGTCACCACCACCCCTATCACCAACCTCCACCACTTACCCACCACCATGCACCACAACCACCTATCACCACCACCCGTCTCCACCACCCGCCACCCATTATACTCACTACCCCACATGTCACTCCCAGCACCCTTAACCACCACCTACCACCACCAAACATCACATTACACCACCACCACCAAACATCACATTACACCATCACCACCCGTGATTATGTGTATCTAATCACATATGATTTATATGGACATTATTCATTTTGTCCATATAAATCGTATGCGATTAGATAAATATAATCACATATGATTAGATATATATAATCACATATGATTAAAGTTGAAAAAAACAATAATTGAATCGAGAACATGATAATGAATCGTGTCCACATAAATCATATGTGATTGGATACATATAATCACTTGGGATTATATATTTAATCAAATATAATTTATGTGGACAATATTTATTTTCGCCGTTTCAATTCAATAATTGGTCTCGTATATTTAATCACACATGATTATATGTAATTAATCAAAGATGATTTATTTGGACAAAACAAATATTGTCGATATAAATTATATGTGATTAGATAAGTATATTCACATGTGATTAAATACAAGAACAACTATTAAATCGAGAATATGAAAATGAAACTTATCAACATAAATCATATGTGATTAAATACATATAATCACATGTGATTATATGTATTTAATCTGTTGAGTATTTAAGTGTTGCCTCTTTTGGGCCTTTTAGTTAGTCTTTTGTGTATTTGGGTTGGGCCTGTCCACCCGTGATTGATAATTACGGTTTTACTATTTAAGGTGCACGCATGCATCGTGTATCTAATAATCGTGTCATTGTAAACCCTACACACCTCTACAGTAGCAGTTCTTTATCGAGCTCTTCTAAGGCTGTGATTTATAATCATTCGAAACATTCTTGATTCGGATTCTGTTTTTGATTGGTTTTACTTGTTTGAATCTAATCGATCTTTAGAGTTTTAAACTCATCAATTGGTATCAAAGCAGGAGACTGTGTAATCTATACGCATCTCTTCTATTGAAAGAGTGTTTAGGGTTTCCACTATTATAGGATCTGGTTTAGCCGTCATCGTTGTTATCAACGCTGATCTTTGATCTTTATATTACCAAAAAAACCATTTAGTTTACACATCTGATTCATACAGGTTTTGTCAATCTCTAAACATGACAGACGACTCTCATGTTAACTCAATAAATCTTTCAAGCAGCATTGGATCTATAACCAAAATTCCCATTCTTTTTCCCAACGATTATGAAGTGTGGGCGTTGCATTTTGAAGACTACGTCCTTGGGCTTGAAGACCATGTCTATTTGATATGGGAAGCAGTTACTGTCCAGACGTTTACTCATACAGGAACGTGAAGCGAAATTAAAACTCAGCAAGACTACAACAAACTTCTTCTTGACATAAAAGACGTGTCACAAGATGAAAAGGACAGGCTGATAAGCAACGTTAAAGCAATGAGGATCATCAAGTTTGCCTTGCCACCGGACACTTTTCGTTTGGTTAGCTCGTACGACACAACAAAAGCCATTTGGGATAGGCTTAAAGAACTGTACTCAACTGATGCTGATCTTTAGCATTCCACTCAAACTCTACTGCTTTTTGAGTTTGGAGCGTTTGTACAAAAGCCTGAAGAGAGTCTGGATCAAACTTTCAATCGCTATAATCATCTTCTCAGTAGGATGATGAAGCACAAGATTGGACGTGGACTTATTGAGCAAAAAGACACAATCATGAACGTGCTGAGATCTGAATGGAAGGTTGTTGTTTCTATTGTAAAAGCACATGAACAGTTCAAGAACTACTCATTAGCAAAGCTGGTTGGAATACTGAAGTCACATGAAGCTGAAGTGACGAAAGAAGGGAAGATAGTTTCTGGAATGGGATCACTGGCCCATGTTGCGAAGGGTAAAAAGGTTGTAGATGATGATTGTTTGGAGTTTGATCTCTCAGATTGTGAACTTTCTAAGGAGGAGTTCGCTTTTATGGTATCTAATCCAAAAAGAATCGCAAAAAAGAACTTTGGTCGAAACAAGAACCGAAACTGGCAGGGCAGTTATAGCTCTGAAAAAGTAAAGGAGGAGAATGCGAATAACTCTCAGAAAGAAGAAGCGAAGAAGGATAAGAAGCTCATGGGGGACTCTGGCTATGATTGTAAGTACTGTCATGGCAAACACCATCTGTCTAAGGAGTGCATGCTGAGAAGGTTAAATTAGAAGAAGGAAGGAGAGGATGATGAAGCTTATTATGTCCGAAAGTTGGAGGAGATAAAAAAGAATAAGAATGCTGATAACACCATGCCTGCTTTTATTTTGCAGGAAAACGAAGCTGGAGATGAGTTGGGCAGAGTCGAGGTCTGGTCAATTGACTCTAAAGATGAAGAGGTTCGCAGAACTACTCATGGAAAGAGTTTTGTAGTGAAGGATGAAGGTTCGCAGCTTCATGGAAGGTGTTTGATGATTACAAGTGAAGTGTCAGAGATGAGAGGCTATGCTACTGATGGTGGACGTGGCGTCGATTGCTGTTTCGCTGCGAAACTAGTTCCTGAACAAATAAAAGAGTGCGAGCAGGTCATCAACAAGGTAAATTCCATTCTCGAATATTTGAATATACCTGTGTCTATATATGAAACTGAATTGAATGACTTAAAATACACATTTTCAAGCTTTAGTGATAGTTTAAAACAAACTCGCTTAACAAATTCTAACTTGATCGATCAACTCGGTAAGGCGTCAAAAAGTGAAGAGAGACGCATATGGATTGAAAAGTTGGAGTCAGATTTGTCTAAGTCTAGGGATGAGTCTATTTACTTGCAGAGAGATAATATAGGTCTTTTAGAAGAGCATAATATTTTATGTTTAATTGCCAAAAGACTTTATTTGAATATTACTCATTTGGATCTAAATTGTGAGATTGGGAAGAAAATTCACAAGAGGATTTTGCCCTTTCTTGAGCTGGAAGAGGACGAAATCGACGCAGAGTGTTATAGGTGCGAATCCAGCGTCTCATCAAACGAAACCTCAGATGCATACATAATAGGACTGGACAAAATTGAATCTTTCATAACGTCCAAAGATCACAAAAACATGTTGAAACAACTTTTAGATTTTAAAGACAAACATCAAATTAAATCCGAAACTGTACAAAAGTTTGACTCATTAAGCACCAAGTTAAATTCATAAAATAAACTTGATGTTGAAAACGTTTCTGAATTCGACGATGAAAGTGATATGAGTGAAATTTCTGTGGAGGATGAGGTTGATTGCTCTATGTTTTTTAAAAATGAACCTTTACCTGCGAAAGTCCTAATTTCTGAAAATTCAGTTGAGTTCGCACGTGTTTCTAAGAACAAATCTAAATTTTTAAAAGCCAAAGCAACTGTTTTTCCAAAAGTTCAAACTGTTCCTAACCAAATTTTTACAACTAAAGGACTGAACAAAAATCAAACAGTTGAATTAACTTCAACGGTCGAAGATGATAACAAAGATGGTTGTGATGAGTTCTTCTGGTCTGCTCCAATCGACAATGCAGACGAAACCAAAGGTCTACCTGAAATGACCTCGTGTAAAATGAAGAGTTGATACATAGTAGAACCTCTAAATAAAGTCAATTCAAGCTACAAAAAGGGTAGTCCAAGTGGAACTAAGATCGTTCCAAGTGACACATCTTCAGTTCGTACCAAAACCCATACCAGAAAGCCAAAACCTAGGGCAAGCATTCACAAATCTTTTGAGCAGTTCGCAGCTCAAAAATGTCAAAGGAATGCCAGATACAACAAGAATCTCAAGGAAAGAAAGAAGTTCTGGCAGTCTAAGAATTCCAACTTCGTTAATAGAGAAAAATCCAATCCAAATGCGAAAGTCTCTTCACATACGAAACCTAAGAATTTCCAACAAAATCATGCTCCACAGGTCTCAAATAAAAAGTTTTTCAAAAACCATTATTTCCAAATCATGCAAATCTTGTGCAGAAAACCAAATCTAACTTTTCTTCAAATATGAATGATTTGCATTCTGCCAAGATTTCACGGGATGTCAAAGGCAAAGGAAAGATATTTTCGGACCCTAAGGTTTCTCTCAAAAGATCCGAAGCTAATCCTAAAATAGTTGAGAAAAATATTGTTAAACAACAAATCCAAAATAAACAAAAGAATCTATCCTCTAAGGATACGAACTCAAATGATAAACGGATTACTGTTTTTCAAATCACAAAGAAAGATAAAACAACCTTAATAAAACAAACTTATATGGTTGATCCTTTAATTTCTTTTCCTGTGAAAAACTCACGAGGGCTCAAACAACTTTGGGTTCCTAAATTTGCTTAACTTTCGTAGGTAATACGTGACGAGCAGTTTGAATCTGAATGGTACATCGACAGTGGCTGCTCGCGTCACATGATAGGTAGGAAGGAAGAACTGCGAGAGTTAAGAGCACTAAGGATGGAGGCAGAGTGAAATATGACAACAAATCCCTTGGTGAAATCAAAGGTTATGGGATGATAACCAATGGAGATTTTTCAATTCGCAAGCTAGCGTACGTGGAAGGACTGCAACACAATCTCATTAGCGTTTAACAGTTAGTGGTGGGAACTGGATTGAAAGCTTCATTTGACGACGAAGGATCATAAATAATCGAAAAGAAGTCCAAGACTGTGCTCCTGAAATCAAAACGCAAAGGCGAAATGTATCCGCTGAATCTGAATCCCATCAAAGGGAAGCCAGCAATTTGTTCACTTGCAAAAGCTTCCACTGATGATAGTTGGCTATGACATAAGAGACTCTCACATCTCAATTTTAAAGATATCAACAAGCTCGTTCTTGGAGATCATGTGTGAGGGTTGCCTCTCCTGAAATTTGACAAATAACATCTTTGTGCAGCTTTCAAAATGGAAAACAGAGCAGGAAGAGTCATCCCACGATTGTGAACACGAAAGTCATTGAACCACTTGAATTCTTGCATATAGACCTTTGTGGTCCTTCTACGATTGAAAGCATTGGTGGTAAACAATATATTCTCCTTATTGTAGATGATTTTTCCAAATTCACTTGGGTGCATTTTGTTAAAGAGAAATCAGAAGCCACTCCTAAGCTCAAGGACTTCATAAAGCAGATAGAGCTTCAACTGAGAAAGCTGGTTCGTAACGTTCGCAGTGACAATGGTTTGGAATTCAAAAACCAAGTG